CAAGGCCTGCCCTTTGGTCAGTTGTCTCTGCATTTTTGTTCACAAACAAACAAGCAACCAGCAACCCACTTCCTTCAGGATTCCTCAGGTAATGAGCACAGGTACAAATGAAAATAGGTCAACGATAACCAGAAGAGTAGCCAGCATGCAGCCTTTTGGCTAAAGGAGGTCCAGAAAAGTCAGGGAATTTTAGATCTAGTTGTTGTCTGTGATGGTCAAGTGTAATTCAGGTCAAGCCCAATGTTCCCTCCTTCTTGCTGTACTGTGGTGATGGGGATGAAGAAGATTTCGGAACGTATTTTTTCGAATTGGGCAGTTTTTGATGTTGCTGACTTCATAAATAGCAACATAATCAATGTGTGATTAAACAGGCTTCAGGGAGCAGCATGTGTGAGCTGTTGTTTCTGTGTCCCTGCTCGTGCTTCGTCTAGCTGTCAATGTTCCCATTCTTCTTTTACTCACCCTCATGAAGCTTCTGAAACAGCACTTGTTTCTGCTTATGTTCTGTCATAACGCTGTCTCATTTTGTGTTTGTTTTCCTCTGTCAGTGAGGGATGCCGTCGTGAAAACCCTGTGAAGAATGTTGGATGTCGCAAGTATGCCTTTAACTGCCTGCAGCTCAAAGCCTTGCCCAGATATTACAAACCACCAGATGGCACTTACGGGAAAGTTAATACTTGATTAAACTGTACAAATATTAAGAGCAAAGAGCATTTGTAAAGTATTCACAGTGCTGTACATTTTCAAGTGAAATTCATTCCTCAAATGTCTGCACACAATATCTCATGTTAATTACATACAAAAAGTGGTTCAGAGAGTTTTGCTCAATTAAATTAAACACTTACATAATTATTCACTTTGCCTTGCCAGGAAGCGCAAATTTTATCCAGTGTAAGTTTGTTACAAGGTAAATCCTAAGAAGTGCTCAGAGAGGAGGCTCCTGTATAATCAGTGTTAATAAGCCCCCTTTCATAGTGAAGTCAAAACACTTCCGGAAAAGTCGTGGAAACGCACTTCTGTTCAGCTTGTGGCTGCTGGATAAGGGTGGGAATGTAAACCGAATGGGATGCAAACTTTTAAATCATAATCCTTTTGTATTTGTCGGTTCTTAACTTCTTATATTTGTATCGTTTTGTTATATAATCAATCGAGCATTCTTTATTAAATTGCAGAAAATTATGTTTTTACTTTTATTAAAGTTATGTTAACACTCTTATATTAATGCAACGTTATCACGCAGTTCTTGCAGAAGTTATGTTCTTTCTAAATATCCACATTTAAGCAGCGTATTAATAACTTACTGTTTATATGCCGATGAAATAAAGTATTATTTTTCTCCTTTCTTCATCTTTCAACAAATTACGTAACGGCGCAGTCAGCTTGGGGTGCAACTGCTGTGTTCCTCGTTGTTCCAAAAACAGGCACATCATAATTTTTTAATACATTTATCTAACAAAACATCCCATAGCTAGCATCCCATATACAAAAACATGATTGTTTGTTGTCTGTTTAACTGTATTATAAAGAGAAATTAACGTTAGCTTTATGCTAACTATTATGCTAACATAACTTCGTTACACAATTAAACAGGTCCTGCTCATGGAAGAATTTATATCCCTAGTCAAGCTTAGTGCGTTCTGTGTAGGACAGTTCATCAACAAAACATATTTTGGGAAGGTGTGCAAGAGACGGCGTGATACACACCTTTTACTTAAAGCAGAAGTCGCGTGATGTCATGTGAAAAGGGCCTATTGTTTTCGAGGAATGAGAATTTTTCATACATGCAAGAGGAGTTTGTTTTGTAAAGTCTAGTTCATGTGTTTCAGATTGGGACTGGAAAAGAGTAGTCGAGGGTTCTCAGTATACGGATGAAAGTGGTTTTGTTATGACATTGGCCATCAATCTCATTGGGGGGGGTCATTTTGAGGTGTTGTATATAGAAATGTGAGGAAAATTTAATTGTGTCTGCTTTTAAATAATAATGTGTGAAAACAGCACTGTGAATATTTTGCCACCTTCTATGTGTAGATGTTGTAGCTTTGGAAATCTAGTCAAACCTTACGTTGGATTGATGGTTAGCATTTTGAATTTGTATTCAAAATGTTTAAGGTATAGATCACATGAGTATTACATAAGTTACTCTTGCTCAGGTGAAGTAAAACCTTACCCTTTGTAGAAAATAGCCCTTACAATTGACTTATTTCCATATAACTTCCATGTGGTCCAAGCTAAGTCAGAATGTTAATGAGATGTGTTCCATTCTCTACCAGGATTGCCTCAAACATTTCTTTTCAAATGCACCCATCAAACCCTGGGTTTAGGCGTAGGGTAGTTGTGGAGTTGACAGTTTTATCTTTATGCTTTTCTCTATGTATTTCTTATGTTTCTTCATTTTTAATCATTATGTTTTTATGTCGTTTGTTTTTTATGTTTAAATTAGATCTGTTTTCAAATTGCTCTCTCTGGGCATTGTGTTCTACATGTGCTGGATACCTTTTATGTAAAGCATTTTGAATCATTACTGTGTATAAAATGTGCTATACAAATAAACTTGCCTTGCCTTGCCTAGTGTATGAGGGTAAATATGAAGGTCAGCAGAACCTTTTGATATTCTCACACTACTTTAGAAAATTCTTGTAAAACTGAAACCTGAATTTATAACACTTTTTTTATGCTAAAGGTAGTTAATGTTAATGTTCAAATCACTCCTATCATTCTCTTTCAGTTGTTATTGGAGACGTATATTGGAGAATTGACTGATGGGAACAATCTCCTGGGAGAGTGAGAGTCCGTCATTTTAAAGGGCCAAGGATGCACTTATCAGGTGTAGATTAGCAATCAGCTGGGTTTCTAAACTCAGTGAAGCTTACCCTCATATTCTCTTTTGCTCTGAGCGAACCGAGTGTGTGTCTTTCTACTTCGATTCTTTAAAAGCATTAAATATTAGTCAGTTACCTTGCCTTGCATTCCGGTGCAGCATTTCTAGCCCAGATAGTGAAGCCACCGTACCGCAGCACCTCTAATCTTTCAGTAAGCTTGTTTCAGTGTTGTTTTGGCAGCTTTTCTTCTCATTCTATCCATATTTCAGGACACAATGACCAAAGTCTGTTAAAAATCCTGGCTGCAAGGCATTTATCTCAGCGAAAGACGGTCACAAGAAATAGAGTTTGGGCATCAAACCCGCCTGCGTTGCTTTCGTATGCCATCAGTGCTCCACTGTAAGCTGGGCCGAAGCACACCTGGGCCTTGCTGGCCGCCCACACGACGGTGTCCTCTCGACAAGTAATTAACCTGAAAACCTGGGGCAAATGGCAAGACTCAGTGATTTCACCTGGGCTTCTGCATATGAGACCACTTCAGCTATGGCTTAGTTCTTGGGTTCCTAGTTCAGCATGGGGCGTTGAGGAGATCTTCGGCTTGACAGAACGTTGTCTCCTTCACCTGATAGTATGAAGGTCTGTGTCCTTCCTACGTTCAGGCACAAGGTCGTGACCCCGGATGCCTCCCTGACAGGATAGGGCACCTTGTGCAGTAGCCAATGGGAGTCTGGGTCCTGGACCAGTCGTGTATCTCCTTGGCATATCAACCGCCTAGAGTTACTGATCCTTTCGTCCGCTCCTTTTAGGTCATCATGTGGTTGTCAGGACTGACAGCACAGTGGTTGTAGCGTACATCACCTAACAGAGCAATGTTTACTCCGGTCATCTGCACTTTCTCGCCCAATGATTTCAGGCTTTAGGCACAGCTTTAGGCCATGGCCAGATCACTGGGCTCTTCACATATTGCATATCCGGCCACAGGGGACCCCCAATCTCTACCTACCTAAAGCGTTAGCACCCCTTATGAGGTCTTGCTACTTGGGTTTGTTTGTTTGCTACCACCAGGAAGACCCTAGGACATTCCCCATTAATGTCTTGCTGATCTTTCTCTAGGAGTGGTTCTCTTCATCCCTAAACTTTCTCAATGCACCTTCGGTTTGAAGGAAAATCAATTGGAGCCATGATCTGACAGTGAGATTTGTCAGGGGTGCTAGAAACCTAAGGTCCTCTAGATCCCCTTCTGTACCCTCTTGGGACTTATCGGGGCTGTGCATGTCACCCTTTGAGCGCTCATGCTTTGCCCTGGCTTCTCTCAATAGGGCAGAAATATTCATCAACTGTCTGTTGACAAGTACTGCCTGAAATTTGGGCCAGCTAATCACATACAACTGCACAATGATACGTGCAGCATTGGCCCTTTAAAATGGGCCAATGGGTCACTCTTCCAGGGATCCTTCCCATCAGTCGGTTCTTTGACCTACATCTCTGTTCCCTCCTTCAGGGAACGGGGGTTATACAAGTAACCTAGACATTATTGCTGCTGATTACCAATACTTGTGAGAACATTGTTTGCCATTTAAAAGAACAAGAAGATTCAGTGTTTTGGAATGACCTCAAATCACGATTTGTGTATTTTCTTTTCATGGATAAAATTGCATTTTATGTTCTTATGAATGGTATATGTGTTCTGACTAATAAATCCAGTCAAGTCAAAAGGTTTTTATATGGCACTTCTAAGCAAATGTTTAAAAGCAGTTTCACAGAAGGACAGAGGATAATTTGGTTACAGGCAAGTGTGTCTCATATATCTATATAGTGCACACTGATTCAAGTTTATTGGCTCAAGTTTATTTTCATGTGGTTCTGGATGGTTCGAGTTTCCACTAAAAAACTAGGCAGGACCATGTGATTGACAACTACACAGAACAGCACTGACTTACCGCTGGGGATCAACCGGTGCCTATCTTCAGCGCGCACTGGGCGAGAGGCGGGGGTACACCCTGGACTGGTCGCCAGTCCATTGCAGGACAACATTCACTCACACATTCACACTTAAGGGGAATTTAGATTGTTCATTTTACCAAACCGCATGTTTTGAGGATTTGGGGGGAAACTGGAATACCTGGAGGAAACCCACGCAAGCACAGGGAGAACATGCAAACTCCTTCCAGGAAGGTCACAGACCACTGGTTGGTCACTTGAACCAACAACCTTCTAAGTGGAAGGCCACAGTGCTACCCACTGCACCACCGTGCCGCCCATAATTTACATTAATTTTTGTGAAACGAGTTGTGAGCATGTTTAGTGGTGACCCAGATGTAAACTCTATAAATAATTCAAAAAACTTACTATACATGATGTCATGTAACTGTGTCATGACATCAGTGTTCTTGCAGGCTGTGCAAAATATACTTAGCAGCAGGTTAGAGCTCAGTGTTTTTCTCTCTGTTTGTTTCCGGATATTATGTGAGAGGGCATTTTTTTTTAACAACTGTCCATTAAGGGGTTTTACTGGACATATCTGGAGGGGAAGCATGTGTTTGGGGACACTTGGAGACCTCCAGGCACATATGATGACATGTTTGTATTTTTACTAAAGTCCTTTTATCTCTTATTCTAGAAAGAAAGAGTAGAATAAACACTTTTTTTGACATTTCACACAGCTAAACGTGTGCTTCTTAAACATTTGGTGAAAATGGTTTCGGTGCTAATTTAAGCAGTTAAAACAGACCAAGAACACTAAAGTAAGGGGTGGGGGTTCGTCATTTCAATCAAATGCATAAAAATGAAACAAAACCTGCCCTTTTCTGAGAGCTCGTGAGCGCCCATTGCGGAGATCTCTCGTTCTCTCGCGTGCGCACTCGCGCACTCTTTTTTGCGCACATTCTCGTGCGCACTTTCTCTCTCTCTCTCTCTCTCTCTCTCTTGCTCTCAGGTTCGCCACACCTGTCCCTTGTCAGTTTCTGATTGGGACATGGTTAAAAGACGCCAATGAGAAGAGGAGGGAGAGCCGGTGCGGACAGCAGAGAGTGGGAAACCCTCATGCAAAATGGCGGAAAGCAGCGACAACACGGCAGATGAAGATGGAAGAAATGCTCCTGGAAAACCAAAGAAAGCGATCAGCAGAAAAGCTAGCGCGAATTGGGAAGAAAATCAATATAAAAAAACTGGGACGAAAGTGGAGAGGATATGGAGGAAGGAAATGATGAATTAGATGCTAGAATGAGCAAAAAGGAGTATTCTTGAAAGAGAAAATATTCAAACCTAACATCAGATTCGCAGTCAGTGCAAACAAACAGTGCAGACAGTGATACGACAATTAAAAAACAGGAAGAGATGCAATTCAAAGTTTTCAGAAAACTAAACCAAGAGGGAGCATTATTTGCAAAGTGGAACCCAAAAAGGTTAACAAAAATTATTTACAAAATAATAGGAGAAGAGAAATGAGAATCTTGAGAGGTGGACAAATGCTAGAAGTAAGTAGCAACAAAGAGCAACAAGACAAAGCTAGCAAAATTAAAAAAAAAATAAATAAATAACATAAAAGGAGGAAAGATAAATATTGCAAAAAGACTAAAAACAACCCAAAATGGAGAAAGATGCGACAGCCTATCTGTTATGCTACAGTTTGACCAGGAAACACTGATATCCAAGGTATTCCTTGTTTTTTCAGCTACCAAGTGAATCCATACATCCCACCACCGCTCCGATGTTTCAAATGCCAGAAACTTGGACATATTGCAAACAACTGTAGAGGCAAGATTAAATGTGGAAGGTGTGCTGGAGACCAAGAATATGGCAAATGCAAAAAAGATGCAGAAATAAAGTGTGTTAATTGTGGAGGAAATCACAGTGCAGCATATAGCGGTTGTGAAGCAAGCAGAACAGCAGAAAACGTATGATAAAAACAACAAAAGGTATTACATATGCAGAAGCAATAAAACAGGTAAATGAGACGACAAAAACAGTGATAAAAAAGAAAACCAAAATACCCCACAAGGAAATGAGAGCAAAGTCACACTATATTTAAAAAAGAAAGAATGTATACTTTTCATGGTAGAGGTAATAAATTGTGCTGCTCAGACAAACAAAAGAACGGAAAAAAGAGATCAATTGGAAAGAGGTGAGGGAAAAATTGGGTGAAGAAAATGAAGGACAAGCAGGAGGAGGAAGTAAACAATGACAGTAAAAATTATTCAATGGAATGCCAGAAGCCTCATTACAAACGTATTAGAATTTAAACATTTTTTTACAAAAACAAAAAAATTAACCAAAAATAATATGTATACAAGAAACATGGCTTAAACCTAAATTAAACTACCATTAAGGGATATATAATAATAAGTAAAGAGGGAAATTGAGGGGGAATACTAAAAGGCATAGTGGAAATTCATGAAAAACACGAATCAACGATCATCCAAGTATGGATAAATGGAGTAGGAATTAACATTATAAACTATTATTATCCAGGAAAACAAATAAACAAAAAAAAAATTAAACGAAATTAGCAGACTAGCAAAAGGAAAACAATATGGTGTTGAGATTTTAATGCACACAGCACACTTTGGGGTAGTAAAAAAACAAATAAAGATGGTGAAATTTTAGAAGAATTTATAGAAGAAAAACAAATTATATGTTTAAATAATGGAAAAGGAAGATTATAGTCCTTCTAAGATTGCCAATCACATCAAGACTTAAAGAACATGATGTGCATGCTTTTACTGTTCTGTTATTAGACTTTTCAAGTTAAGATGTAACATGTGCTAAAAAAAAGTGAGAGTGCAAAGAAAAAACAGATTAAGATTGTACTTTATTACTCAAACAAACGAAATCTAATACAGTTATACACTCTCTAAGATGACTTACTTGCCAATAAGAACAGTAATCTTGATGCTCTGTGAGCCTCTTGAACTGTTAACTGGACGGCAGTTCCCTGCCCCACAAGATCCTTTGCAGCTGGAGCCGGTCCAACCCCTGTCACACAGGGTGTATTATGAAAAGCTTGCACCATTAGTAGCCTTGTTTCAGGATATATCCTCCACGGCTACTCCCACAACGGATCCGCCCATGTCTCCAGCCAATCACGCCTGGGGCTGGGTACGGTCGAGAGTTTACAAGCGCAAATGGAAGGAACCTCGCTGGTCAGCTCTACTGAAGGTAACTGCATGCACCTCGCACTGTATTTGTATTACAGGGAAGGGTGATACCTGGTATCACCTGAGCCAGTGCTGTCCAGCTGACCCTCCATCAAGATCCCTGGAGGACACTAGAGTGGACCTTGCTTCGAAGGTCCAAGAGAGGGACAGTACACAGAGTTTGAAAGGTGATACACAAACACATACACATATAACCAAAGTAAAAATTTAAAAGATAAAATATAAAAAGATAAAAATTTTCATCCACCAGTACAAGCATTGCAAATTGTCCTTAAGACAGGAGATCTGTTTTCGGCTCCTTCAGGAGAGCCGGTAGCACACTGCGTAAGTGCAGACTGTGCCTTTGGGGCAGGCATAGCCAAGAAATTCAGAGAATGTTACGGAGTTGAAAAAGTAAGAGCACAAGGAAAAGTAAATGGAGAATGAAACAGACAGGATTGTCTTTCACTTAGTCACAAAAACACTTGGCAGAGATCTCCCTATGTATCAAGATTTTGAAAGTAGCTTGACCTGCATGCGAAGGTGGTGTGACGAACTAAACATTGCAAAATTATCCATACCCCGGCTGGGATGTGGATTGAACAAACTGGATTACTACAAAGTACTTCAGATCATTGAGCAAACCTTTAAAGACTCTGTTATAACCATTTCCATGTACACTTTGGAGTAAAATTTTATGATTCATTTACTTTGAGTGTCTTGAGTGTTGTATGCTTACAAGTTTTCTTACAGGTTTTTGTGAAATTTTTTAATTTGTGCGTACGATTTTTGCTCACAGGATTTTTAACCACTTTTTAACATCTACTTCCGCTTATAGGTTTTTACTGGCAGAGTATCCTCGTATTTTACAATACTTTTGTGATAACGCATATGTATTTCTTCTTATACTAATTCTTCTTATTTACATTTTTTGAATTTGCCATACTGTATGTCTCATTTTTTACATTTTTAAATCTGTTATATTTTATATCTTTTTTTTTTGCTTGAAGCTTTTCGTAGATTTTTTCAGTATTAGTTTCTGAATTTGTAAGTGTTAATTGATTTTTAAGACAAGTGGGTATCCAGAAGAAAGATGACCTAAAGAGATCTTGATAATAACTATAATTGAAGAAACTACTACCACAGTAGTAACCGAAGAGACCGAAGTGTGGATCCCAACAGATAGAAAACCAGTACCAGTAATGAACCATTATAGAGCAAAGGGGGGCCAGGTCAGAATCCAATTATGGGAAAACTGGAAAGTGTTAATTTTCATAGTTGGTATGCGAGGCTGAGCAAGCCAGGGGGCAAAAGGAAAACAGAGAGAAAAAAAAATGAAACTCTGGTAAGATCCAAAAGGGATGTGGGACAATTGGGAACAAAATAAGATAAGTGCTTAAAGGAATTTGGGGGAATAAAGTTCAACTATGTTAAGGGCTCGACCACATTATTCACCTTCGACCTATGACCAAAAGAGTAGAACAAAGAGAGACGCAGGAACTTTTGACTTGACCCTGAATTCTCCTGAAGTTAGCAGATCAAATAAAAGCAGGTTTCGAGAATGTTCCCATTCTTGCGGCACTCTTCCCAGTAACTCCAAATAAAAATGTTGACAGGATAAATTATGTTCATTATAATGTTATGAGATTATCCAGTGTGACGGGGATTGTGGAAAAGAGGTGAAGAGACGAGTGCAGGCAGGTTGGAGTGGGTGGAGAAAAGTGTCGGGGGTATTGTGTGACAAAAGAGTGTCAGCTAGAATCAAAGGAAAAGTGTACAGAACAGTAGTGAGACCAGCTATGATGTATGGGTTGGAGACTGTAGCAGTGAAGAAGAGACAAGAGGCAGAGATGGAAGTAGCAGAGATGAGGATGTTGAGGTTCAGTTTAGGAGTGACGAGGATGGACAAGATTAGGAACGAGCACATCAGAGGGACAGCTCAGGTTGGTTGTTTTGGAGACAAAGTCAGAGAGGCCAGGTTCAGATGGTTTGGACATGTGCAGAGGAGGGATAGTGGTTATACTGGTAGAAGGATGTTGGAGATGGAGATGCCAGGCAAGAGGTCAAGAGGAAGGCCAAAGACGAGATATATGGATGTACTGAAAGAGGACATGAAGGTAG